GGGGGGGGGGCGATGACGTCTCCTACATCATCTAGCCCAGCGGGTCCTTCTGTCCCGACTGGTAACACCAGATCTTTCAAAGATGTTCTGTTGGGTGGTTCCTCTTCCTCAGCTAATAGGGTAAAATTTGTGTATGCTTCATTTAAGGGTTGTCCTGCTCTTTTGTTTGAAGATTCTGTTGTTTCACAACTTGCAGCTCCTTTCTCATTTACTTTAGTTGGCAAATTTGTTATGCGTAGACCTAATCTAGACATTATTCACAAATTTTTCTACTCGCTGAATTTTTTTGGTTCATTTAACGTCAGTTTACTGGATCCCAAGCATATTGCGATTCAATTGTCAAATGACTTAGATTACAGCCGTATTTTCTCTCGCCGTTCTTACTATATTCAAGGTTGTCAAATGAGGCTTCTTAAATGGTCACCAGAATTTGATGTGAGGGAGGAATCTCCCATTGCCCCGGTGTGGATTGGTTTTCCTAATCTTCGTTTACATTTCTTTAGCTCTTACATTTTATTTGGTATGGCATCAGTTTTTTGTAGACCTCTACAAACTGATCAAGCTATGGCTTCTTTATCTAGACCTTATGTGGCACGTGTTTTAGTTGAACTAGATGTTACGAAAAAGTATCCTCATGAAATTTGGCTAAGGTCGGAAGTTAATGGTTACTTCCAAAAAATTGAGATTGAGAATCTACCTATATTTTGTTTTCATTGTAAAATGCATGGCCACACGATTAATGAATGTTTCCGTTTACATCCTAATCTTCACAAAAAGAAAGTTTCATCTAAAACTAATGTGAATGGTGATAGGGAGGATTTTCCTAAGCCTCATAATGATGTCGGGAATGATTCTGGTTCTTTGAACTTGGTTTTGCAAGAAGGTGAACATTTGGGTGTGGTTAATTTGGCTAAGGAAGCGGAAGTGAATCCTATTACCAATGTTTCTACTTTTAGTGTCCTTAATCATGATAACATTGCTATTGATCTGATTGCCAATGGGAATGATAATATTGTTAATGATTCATCTTCTAATCATGTTTCTTCTTTTAATCCGATAATTATTTAGGAGGATAATTGCTCTACTTAGTTCTTGAAAAGTGGCAAGATGCTATTCCTGTTAATGATCTGAACATTTGGGTGAACATTTGGGTCTGGCCCAGTTTGAATAAATCCACTAGTACTTGCAGTCGATTACAAATGACACCCTTCCTTGGGAGGCCTTGGCTTGATAGTACAAATGTACATAATATAGAGCGCATTACATGGTGGGAGTTACAATATAGACATATTTGTTTGGTCGGCAAAATCATAGTCGATAGGATTGAGGTCGAAAAGACCGTTGTCTGGTGATGGAGGTCAGAGGGACCAAAGTAGGTGATTGAGGTCGGAAGGACCGTAGTTGGAAAGAGAGAGAGGTCCAAAAGATCGTAGTTGGTAGGAGACCGGGGTTAGAAAGACCGTTGTCTTATGATGGAAGTCGGAAGGAACATAGTAGGCGACAAAGGTCGGAAGGACCGTAGTTAGTTGGAGATAGGGGTCAGAAAGACCGTTGTATGGTCATGGAGGTTTGAAGGACCATAGTAGGCGATGGAGGTCAGAAGGACCATAGTCGAAAGGAGACAATAGTCTGAAAGACCGTTGTTGGCAGGAGAGAGAGGTCCGGCAGAAGTTTGGGCCTCAGGTGGTGGTCTGGAAGATGTCTGGGCATCAGGTGGTGGTCCGGTGAAAGTTCGGACCTGAGGTGGTAGTCCGGCGGAAGTTCGGGCCTGAGGTGGAGGTCCTGCGGAAGTCTGGGCCTCAGGTGGTGGCCCGACGGAAGTCTTGGCCTCAAGTGGTGGTCCAACATAGCTCAGGGCCTAAAGTGGTGGTCCGACATAGCTCAGGGCCTAAAGTGGTGGTCTGATAGAGCAACGACGTCAGACAGTGGTCTGGAAGAGGTGAGGACCTCAAGTAGTGGTCCGGCAGAGTAACGATGTCAGGCAATGGTATGGTGGAGGTGAGGGCCTCTAGTAGTGGTCTGGTAGAGCTCAGGGCCTCAAGTGGTGGTCCGACGAAGCTCAAGGCCTCAAGTAGTGGTCTGGCGGAGCAACGATGTCAGGCGGCGGTCCAGGGGAGCTGAAGGCTCAAATGGTGGTTCGGCGGAGCTCGGGGCTTTAAGTGGTGGTCTGGTGGAGCAATGACGTCAGGTAGTGGTCCAGCGGAGGTGAGGGCCTCAATTGGTGGTCCGGCGGAGCAACGACGTTAGGCGGTGGTTGAGGAGGAGCTTTTCTTTCTCTTCCTTCTCTTCTTCCTTATTCTCTTCTTTCTTCGGTCCATTTTTTAAGAGAAATGAGCGATATATTTATAGATTTATGGAGTGGCATGGCCCGTAAATAGGTGAGAGATAAAGGGTAAATGAGGAGTGGTTGGATGGACGGCCGATATTGAATCCCTTGATCGTGGACCGTTCGTTAGATATTTAAAGTTCTTAATGATGACAAAATTCGGCGATCTTGGGCTTGTTGGATTTGTCTCATTGAGCTGCTCAATTTGGCTATAAGCACATTATGTTTAGAAACTGTTTGTTAATCAAAATTAAGGATCGAACCTTCCAATAGCGCTTCGAGTCATTTATTTGGATTCATTTGGCCTCGGATTGAGTCGAATTTGTGAGTCTTTGGGTTCGTATTTTCGAGACGTTCGTTTTGATTGTAAGTTTGCTGAAATCAGAGTTTGGATGGTCTCAATTTTACTTTTGGAAGTTTCCAAATTGATTTTGCATCGAGATTAGTGCACGACCAAGATAATTTTTTGATGACGTATTAGTTGCCCCCG